GGTTTGGATGGTCCTCTTTGATTGTCTATCAGTTTGGGGGTGAAAGGCAGTGCTAAAGGTGAGTCTCGTCCCCATGGCTGATTGTAGCCTAGCGTAAAATTTATAAGTAATCCGAGTATCCCTGTCTGATACAATACTGATCGGAACTCCATACAACCGCACTATTTCCTTAATATACAACTGGGCTAGTCGATCCAAAGTGAAAGTCGTGCGAATCGACAGAAAGTGGGCAGCTTTGGTCAGCCGGTCTACAATGACCCAAATGTTATCATGTCTTGAATTTGTTTTAGGCAAGCCAGAGACAAAATCTATAGAGATGTGCTCCCACTTCCACTCTGGCACGGGTAAAGGCTGCAACAACCCAGCGGGACTTTGATGCTCAGCTTTTACTTGCTGGCATATTAGGCACTTTATAATGCTACCTCTTTTTTCACATTATTCCACCAAACGGTTTTTTTCAGGTCCTGATACATTTTAATACTTTCCGGATATATCGTATAACGAGAGGGATGTGCTTTTTCCAAGATAGCTTTCTTCACACTCTCATCATTCGGGACACAAACCCGACATATGAATCTTAGCAAATCCTCACTACATATAGAGAATTCGTCTCTATTTCCCAACTTCACATCTTCTACAATTGTTATAAGCTCAGGGTCTTTCCTTTGTGCTGATCAAATCTGTTAGATTAATTGGGAATCTGCCGTAATATTGGCAATCATACTTACCACACCATTAATGGATGGAGCCGGATGTCAACCCACTATTTCCTCTAACAAACTCATTTTTGGATCATTAGATGAGCTAAGACTCCCGTAGATTTTCTACTTAAAGCGTCGGCCATAGCGTTAGCTTTTCCTGAATGATAATGGATTGTACAATCATAATCTTTTAAGAAAATCATCCATCTTATCTGCCGTATATTTAAATCTTTCAGAGAGAAGAGGTATTTCAAGCTCTTATGATCCGTGTATATTTTGAATTGCTCACCATATAGATAATGCCTTCACATTTTCAAAGCGAATACTATTGCAGCCACCTCTAAGTCATGAATTGGATATTTTTTCTCATATTCTTTCAACTGTCTGGATGCATATGCCACTACTTTCCTATACTGTATTAATACACAGGCCAAGCCTTTATGTGAAGCATCACTATAAATCACAAATCCCTCACTCCCCTCAGAAATAGTTAAAATAGGTGTTGAAGTTAATCGAACTTTTAGTTATTGAAAACTCTCATCACATTCACTTGTTTACTCAAATTTGACATTTTTCTGTGTCAATCGAGTCAATGGGGTTGCGATTCGAGAAAATTCTTCTTTAAATTTTCTGTAATAAACTGCCACTCCCAAAAAGCTTCGAACTTCAGTCACATTATTTCGTTGTTTCCAATTAACAACGGCTTCAACCTTTGAATGATCAACTGATAGACCTTCTTTTGATATGACATGTCCTAAAAATGTCACTTGTTCAAGCCAAAATTCACATTTACTAAGTTTGGCATACAATTTCTTTTCTCTTAATATTTGCAATATTATTCTTACATGCTGCTCATGTTCGTTCTGATTCTTGGAATAAATTAAAATATCATCGATGAATACCACAATAAATTTATCCAAAAAGGGGTTAAAGATCCGATTCATCAAATCCATAAATACAGCCGGTGCATTTGTTAATCCAAAAGGCATGACTAAATATTCATAATGGTCATACCTTGTTCTAAAAGCTGTCTTGGGAACATCTTCACTTTTAATCTTAAGCTGATGGTATCCAGATCTAAGATCAATTTTTTAAAACACTTGTGATCCTTGTAATTGTCAAATAAATCAATAATTTTAGGTAATGGATACTTATTTTTCACTATCACTTGGTTCAACTGTCTATAATCGATACACAATCTCATGGTCCCATCTTTCTTTTGAACAAACAATACCGGAGCACCCCAAGGTGACATACTGGGCCTGATAAATCCTTTATCAAATAATTTTTCCAATTGTTGTTTAAGTTTCTTAAGTTCTGCAAGTGCCATTATGTAATGTGCCTTAGAAATTGAGGCTGCCCCTGAAAATAATTCAATAGAGAATTCAATTTCACTGTCAAGCGGTAATCTTGGCAATTCTTTAAGGAAAACGTCGGGAAATTCTCGGATAACCGAAGTGGTATCCAAATTTATTTCTTTCTTTCTATCTTCTTTGATATAGGCAAGAAAGCCTTGACACCCTTTTCGAAGGCGGCGATTAGCTCGAATACAGGAGATTAAATATGATGGAGAGTCTTCTTTGATACCATTGAAGTAAAATACTGGTTGATTCGGAATACTAAAGGTAACCATTTTTTTGTAACAATCAATACTTGCATGGTATGCAAAAAGTCAATCTATGCCTAAGATTACATCAAAATTTTGAATTTTTAGGAGTATTAAATCAACCAACAGTTCATTTTCTTCTATCTTTATTACACAGGATTTGTACACTATATTGGTGTCAATTGAATTTCCCATCGGTGTGGCTACCTCTATAATGTATTCTAATTGTTCCGGTTCTACCTTTAAGTGGCATGCAAAGTGTGGTGACACAAATGAATGAGTAGATCTAGCATCAATCAAAACATGAGCTACTTTTTGGAAGATAATAGGAGTACCTTGGATCACTGATTTTGAGGCCTGAGCGTCTTGCTGAGTGATCGTAAATACTCTTCCCTTCATCTAAGGCTTTTGAGCTATCTCTCATTGCTTTGGAAGCTGTTGCATCTGTAAGCTAGGACATTCTCTAATCTGGTGCCCCAATTTTCCATATTTAAAACAGGCTCCAGTATTCTAATAACAAGAGCTCGATCCATGCTTTTTCCCACATTTTTTACATGGTTCTATTGGGCTTTGAAGTGGCAAGGCCCTTGGCTTCTTGTTTGCCCTTTCAAACTGTTGTTGATTAGATGGTGTGGGTCTAACCTGATTTTTTTGATTTTTCATCTTTGGGCAATCTTCGCAATCTTTTTCGATAATTTGGGTTCGATTCGCTATTTCAGCATAAGTTCTCAATTTTAAGACTGATATTCTGCTTCTAATAGCTGGTCTGATACCCCTTTCAAATTTTTTCATCTTTCTTGCATCATTATTAATCATATGTGGTGCAAACCTTGCCAAATCAGTAAACTTGGCCTCGTACTGTGCTACTGTCCGGTTTCTTTGGATTAATTTCAGAAATTCCTTTTCTTTTTTGTCTCGAATAAAATCTGGGAAATACTTTTCATTAAATGCCTCTAGAAATATTTCTCAAGTCAATGGTTTATTTTCTTTGACTAATACTACTTTTGCCATTCGCCACCAATGTTGTGTTTCAAGTTCTAACATAAAAACTGCCAAGGCCACCTTCCTATCATCAGGACATTCCATTACCTCGAATGTTTTCTCCAATTGCATAATCCATCCCTCGGCTTCCAGTGGGTTTACAACACCCTTAAAAGAATGTGGGTTCAATTTCTTAAATTATTCGATATTACTCCCACCATTACTCGTAACTGACTGCCTGGGTGGATTGTTGTTTTCCATCTGATGTTGCATTAGAGCAACCATATTTTCCAAGGCTTTGTGCAAAAGGTCATCCGAGCAAATCTTTCTTGGGCATATCTAAAATAGAAAGTCATATAAAAATGCTTGTTTGTTTGCTTGGTATAGGCAAATTTACTATACACTAGAGTTGTCTAAATATAGAGCAAGAGAATGGTGCATCTATATTTTTAGAGTTGCCTAAATATAGAGAAAGAAAATGGTGCATTTATATTTTTACAGAGAGCAGGATAGTACCTGTTGAGGGAGAGAAATAGAGTTAGTAAAATGGTTTATAAAATTGGAGTAGTTTATAGAGTGAATAGAGCTCAAAGAAGTGGTTGTTCTAATGATTATTTGCTACTGTTCGCATGACGTGGAACTGTTGGGTTTCAAACAAACCCCATATGATAATTAGATATGCGATTAGACGCCATGTACGCATTCACATCACGTATAGTGAGATCGAGCGTGAGCCCGACCCGTACATATGCTCCAGCAAGGGATGCCTCATGCAAGCGCGTGTTATTAAGCACCTCATACATGCATGCACATTACATGCTTTGCGTGCACTCACACCTATGTTCAATAAATTTAATGCATGAGAGTACTCCCGCATTCTTTCCTATTTCATTTTTCTACCTGGGACTAACCTTTCTCATCTATTAAAAATTAGAAAACAATATTTATAAACATTTTTAAATATCTAATACTATTTTACAAGTACTAACAAAAAAAACTTTCACAAAAATATTTTCATGCGTACCAAACACGAGAGATTGAACTTTATTTGTTATGTGATTTTTCGGTCATAACCTATCGACATCATAAGTGAAAAAATAGACGGTTTGGAATCTTTAGATTGAAAAATCTTTATTCCATAAATTGTTATCTCTCACTCTCCATGTGTGCGTGTTGATCTTCCTTAAATAGTAATGAACTACTAATCCATCCATAGCAATAGTTACAAAATGTTCACATAAAAAAATTTGATTCAATTAGTACTCTCTTTATCTATTGTATTCTTTCTATTTTGTAATGTAGTGGGGATTACAGTCCCTATCTATTTTTGAATTAGTTCGTAGTTTTTGACACTGTCAAAAATAGAAACCACAATGTGCAACTCAAATATTATATGGAGGTGTAAGTTACAACCACAACCTCTTTCCTTGTATTAACTTATCAAAATTAACAAAAACTTCGTATCAATAGTTACGGTCACTCTCTCCCTCTTTCACTCTCCCCCTCCGATACTCCTCTCGAGTAAATCAAAGAGCCCGAATAGCTTCTCTTCCCAATCAAAACGAACCCTCTTAGGGGCTGATAACCTTGGTGGATACTACCATATTAATTTACTATGGGGTTTTTATAAGACCAAGGCTTTATGAAACGAAATAAAGCCTCACCTCAAATCCTCATCTAAAAAGCACTTTTGGCATAAAAAATCTTAATGATGGCTCTAAAAATTAATTTTCAACACCACTAATAATATTTGAAACCCAAAAAAATAGCACAGATCTTGGGAAGAAGTAAACACTTATGTTTAGAGTGAAATGGATGGTCTAGGTGATTTCTCAGGGAAATGGAGTGGCTTGAATTATGCTCATGAGACCACGGCGTGACTTCAAAGTCCCCCGCCGCGCCCCAAAACACCAAGGGGTTGGGAACCCAGTGGAGATGGCTTGTAGATCAAGCCCAAAAAGAAGCCCTAAGATTGTCGGCATTGGGTTCATAGACGGCAGTGCATTTCCAGTGTAGCCTATCAGAGCCCCAGGAAAGGATCATCGTAATTGAGAAAAGGCCTATAGCAGAATCTAGCAGATCATGTAGGATGGGATCCCAAAGGATCCAGACGCCACCTGAAGCACCTTGTGCTTCCAGAGCAGTCCACCTTCTAGGCTTGAAGCCCCAAATGCGTCGAATATCAGAAAGAGTGGGAGAAGGCAGTTTGGTCTCACACAAAGCCAAGAGGGTCTGTATTGCACACAGTTCTCGAACCGCATTTCCTTTTAGTGGTTGGCCTAGGCCACAGACATTCCACATTAATACTTTCATTGGGAGAAGGATGAGGTATGGGTCCTCCTTGAGCAGGGAGGGAGTTGAGAAGGGGTTGCTGAGGCTTAGAGGTTAAGAGCAGAAGGACGAGGGGTAAGGGGTTGAGAAAGTCCAGAGTAAAAGTTGACTCCAAAAGCTAGCAAGTTATCCAATTCCCGCTTTGACTTTATTTTTTTGGTAGTGGAGGATGAGACTAAATCGGCATTGATGACGTCTTTTAGGGCTGGGGGCTCAATGAATTTGAAGCCCATCACTCTCATGACCTCTTGAGGGTCACCTTGTGCGCGAAGCAGGTAATGGAAAAAAGTGGAGTCAACTAAAGTTAGAGAGTGAGACAAAGAGCTCGTTGGGGAGAGCCGAGAGGAATAAGGAGAAAGGGTTGACCCCTCTGGGGGAGGAGGGGCACAGTGTGGAGGGCTGTAGTGGCAGGAAACAAGGGTGGAAGGGTGAGAGTTTAACCTCTGAAAGAGGGGGATAAGAATGCGTAGCGGGGTAGGAAAGGGGGTTATGGGGGAGAGAAGCATTGGGTGCAAGGCTGATCTCATTAGGTGGGTTGGGGTGGATGAATTGAGATGCCGACCCCATCGCCTCCTTAGGGGAATTAAAGGTGGGATCTGGACAGATCGACTAATTGGGATTGATCTCACCATTTTTGTCACCCGACCATTTTTGTCACCCGACGAGGAAAATAGAGAAGAGAGCGATGGGTCCTGCTATCTAAGGGATCCGCGAGACAGGATAGGTCCCCGAATTGTCCCTTACAACCAAGGATTCAACGTCAGAGGGGGGTCCACCGCAGTCATGGTTGTCGAGGGTAACTCCAAAGGGCCCACCAGGGGTAAAAGGGGTGAACTCAGCTTCCACGTAGACGCGAAAGGTGAGGCTACCTGTTTCAAATCGAGAGGCTGTGATGGTGGAGGGTTTGCCAAAGGGGGTATCTTGCGTCGTAGGAAAAGGTAGAGAGAGGTTCGTAGATGGAGAGGCCCCATAGGAGGAAGACCCTGGGAAGGGCCCACATTGTGGTGGTAAGTCGAGGAAGGGTATAAGGCTAAGGCCAGAATGAGATGGGTGACCATCGGATAAGGGTTACCCTTGCCCCTAGGCACAAGATGAGGAGAAAGTTGGTTGGGAGGGCTTAGAGCGTGAGCATTGAACAAGGGGAGGGGTCCACCGTGATTTGGAAAAGATCCTTGTCCCTGAGGAGGCTGCGGTATGGGTGGGCTTGAGTAAGTAACCACCGTCGGATGAATAGCACCTATATCGCGAGTGGTCGGCAAGATAGGTTGGTTAGGGGCCGACGCATGAAAACGAGTTGAATTTCCAAAAGTGGCAGCAGGGTGGTAGATCCACTGTAGGATGAAGAGATCCTTGTCCCTAAGGAGGCTGCGAGATGGGCGGGCTAGCGTTAATAACCAACGTTGGATGGAGAGGGCCTTTATCGCGAGGGGTTTGCAAGATTGGTGGATTAGGAGCCAACACGTGTCAAATCTCCAGAAGAGGCAGCAATGTGGTTGGTGGAAAGTGGTCTAGCAGTCAGCCACTCCTTCACTTGGACGCCTATCATTGGCTGCCGAGCTGGATGGGTTTCTATGGACGTTTGGCGCTCGATATTGGAATATTCGACGCGTGGCCCGCCTGCGAAGGACCTAGCGTTGACCATGTCCATTTGCCAAGGGGCAAATCGTGGCGGTTGCTTGTAATCCTTATAAGCCCTTGGATTTCTTAATCGACGGCCACGAGTCACCATGGTCCACTCCTCCGTAGCTTGCTGAACGGGGTATCGTGGTCTTGACCCAGCAATACCAAGGTCCTCAACATGACAAGACGGGTGGGGGGAAGCCTTCACCCAGGAAACTGGGATGCTGAAAAAGAGCCCATATGGCTCTAGCCACAGGCGGTAGGGGACCTGTTCCGGAATGAGAACTTCAACCAGGACTCGAATGGAACTAAGCGGCAATGAGGCATGTGAAGGCTAGTGGATCGAGATGAATCTACCGCATGCTTCCCCAATCTTTTGGAAGGTTTTCGCGTTCCAGACCTGTCGTGGGATGTGGGTGGCTGTAAGCCAGAGTTTTTCGATAGTGTTTTAATTTTAATTTTTTATAAATCTGATTTATTTGAAATTTGGGACCTGTACATCTTACTCGCACAAAAATAAAATATCAAAAACTTATTATTGAAAAGCAAAATGATGAAAATACCCCTGAAATATTCATAGAGGTAATTTAGTTAATTTTAAGGTTTGAATTATTTTTTTTAATATTTATTTAGATGTGCCTCATTGAGTTGTAGACACCTATATAATTTGAGGTTAATCTGATTTATATAACAATTATGAAAATTCAAAACACCATCATACAATCGTGACCATCTAATAAGCTTTGGATGACGATGAGCCATGAGTGAAATATTTTAAAAGTTTACTCATGAGTGTCTTAAAGCGTTTTCGTACACATACGTTAGTGGTGGGCACATCATAGGGTATTACATGCGAATGTATTCAATGAGACCTTACTTTCGTACAAAAAGGTAAAAATCTTAAGCAGTCACCCATAATTTCGGAAGTGATGAATAGAAAATAGCTTCAGAAACACTTGTACATTCATTCATGTTGGGTTTTTATGATTTTTTCATTTGAGCTGCATATTGTCAGCACATCATTTGGTACCAAATGCAACTGTATTCAATGACTCTTTACCTTGGTACATAAAGGTAAAAAACATTCTAAATTGGCAGATTTGAAACCTGACATTTATTATTCTGGATAGTACAAGAAAATTTTCTCGGTCTTAAGCATGGACATTGGCAAACGCCTGTCCATCCAATTTCACATTTAACAGTTTGGGTTATTTTTCACCTTTTTATCCCAAAGATGAACAATATCATTGAATATCATCTCATTTATATTGGGTTTTGTTACGTAGTGGTCCTCTTTGACTAATATCACAATTTTATTTTTCTCATCTTTGCCTTGCTCTTATAATTTATCTTTTTGACAGAGAGATGTTCCTGCTAGATACCTTCTACGTCTGGGACAGGGAGAGCAAGAGTTAGCTACTGACCTTGATTTTAGCCGGCAAGGTCGTGTCAATGCAATGCTTGTACGTCGGATAGAACTGCTCACAGAGGTTGAAAGGCTTGCAAAATTACTTAACCAGCCAGAAGATGTGGGCTATACATGTGCAACCGCAGGCTACTTTTGGTTGCATGTCTACTCTCGTTGGGAACAGTTTCTTGCTGCTTGTGAGCAGAATCGAGAAAAACCAAATTTTGTCAAAGATAGATTTCCATTTCAAGAGTTCTTCTCGGGCACACCTAAGCCTGTATTCACAGGAGAATCATTTGAGGCAGATATGCGTTCAGCAATGGGCTGCTTTCGCCATCTTAAAACTATGCTTCAGTAACTTGAAGAATGCAGAGCCTTTGAGCAGTTGAAATCAACAGCTGATAGGGCGAATTATCTGATGACCAAACAGGCGAAGATTGTGGCCATGACATGTACCCATGCAGCATTGAACAGGAAGGATTTTCTTCAGTTGGGTTTTAAATATGACAATTTGCTTATGGATGAAAGTGCACAGATCTTAGAGATAGAGACATTTATTCCAATGTTACTTCAACGACAGGAAGATGGCTATGCTCGGCTTAAACGTTGTATACTGATTGGTGATCATCATCAGTTACCTCCAGTTGTAAAAAACATGGCCTTTCAGAAATATAGCCACATGGATCAGAGTCTTTTTACAAGGTTTGTGCGATTAGGAATTCCATATATTGAACTTAATGCTCAGGGTAGGGCACGGCCAAGTATTGCCAAGCTTTACAATTGGAGGTATAGAGATTTAGGAGATATTCCTTCTGTGCAAAGAGAAGAAATATTCCATAAAGCAAATGCTGGTTTCTCTTACGAGTATCAACTTGTAGATGTTCCTGATTACAATGGAAGGGGTGAGTCAGCCCCTTCTCCTTGGTTCTATCAGAATGAAGGAGAGGCAGAATATGTTGTCAGTGTTTACATATACATGCGCTTACTCGGGTACCCTGCAAATAAGATATCTATCTTGACTACTTACAATGGTCAAAAGCTTCTGATACGTGATGTCATCAAGGGGCAGTGCACAAATGGTATTGGTCCACCAAGCAAGGTAGCTTATAAAGAAAGATGTTCTCAAGTACTTTTTTTTAAAAAAAAAATTCCATTACCATCATCTTTCTCGTCGTCATCGTTATCATCAACATCATTGTTTTTGTTGTTATTCTTGTTCTTTTCTTATTATTATACCCATTTCATATAACCAGAATTATTATTGTTATCCCCATTTCACATTACCACAAGGAAAAATAATTGAAAATTCATTGCATTTTATGACACTCTTACCCTCCACACAGATTATTACTTTAGCTTGGTTGGCTCTATTGGGATGGTGTAATTAAAATGGTTTTCTTTGTTTTACAGGTCACAACAATTGACCAATTTCAATATTAGAAAATGATATTGAAAATACATTGCATTTTATGATACTAATTTACTCCTACCGACCACAAATAATACTAGTTTAGTTTGATTGGCTCTATTGGGATAAGTGTAATTGTAATGGTTTTTCTTTGTTTTACAGGTTACAACAGTTGACAAATTTCAAGGTCAGCAAAATGACTATATTTTATTGTCCCTTGTTTTGTGGGTCACCTGTGGAGAGTGGCACAATCGAAGAGCCCTCTACCGCCACCAACATGCAGGAAGAAAGTGAGGAAAAGGATGCCACTCCCGAGAATGGCGCGGAGGAAGACTCTAAGATGGAAGAGTGAAGTCAAATTGCTTGGCTTTTGAGACCAACCAGCTTGTATTTATATTGAATATTGATGCATTTTCTTCCTGTACGTGATTCGTGGCACAAGGCATTTGTAACTAAAACGCTTCTCACTCTATCTCCGCCTTTTGTCCTGGTGTTAAGGATAGGATGAGGTGAGTTACGTATCTAACAAGTTTAAAGGTTTTGGTGCCATTGTTGCTTCCCACTCTTGATTGGATTGCGTGATGGTACATGTACCTTACCAATCACAAATATTTATTGAGGTTCGAGGGAGGTATTAATTGCATGTGCTTGGGCCTAAATTCTCCATCATCTTCCGTACGACCCATTTGCTTTGTTTCATTTTCACTCGGTGTAGTTGGGCATTACATGCATCGAACATGATACTGATCTTCTCAGACTGGATGCAAATGACCACCTTTTGTTTTTAGCTTCCCTTTCGCTATGGATACCTAAAACAATAAAAGTGCAGGTTTAGGTGCTCCCCTCCCAATTAAAGTGAGCCCTTCCTTTCAAATCCATCTTTGATGTGTTTTGGGTCTAAAATTGTACATGTCTATCATCTTAACCACAACAATAATGAATCTGAAAAGAAAAAAACAAAGGAAAATAAAAATGATTTCGAGCCTTATTTTTGTATGCCGGTTGCTCATAGAGGGGTTACAGGTGAAATTCCTGTGGAATGGGGCAGGGGAGAGATTTCACTTGTAGCCTGGGACACAGTTGACATTAAATGATGACGGGGGCTTCGGACCTACAAAGCTAAGAGAGGTAAACAGAGCACGGCTTTGGAGATTTGTGACAAATAAGAACCATCTCTGGCTTCAGGTGATCGCTAGCAAATATGGAACCATGCGAAGAGGATGGCTACCTAAGATGGTGAATCTGATATCCAACAAAACCTTTTCACATCTGGAAGAGACCATCAATCTTATACAAAATGAATTCTGCAAACGCATTAGATTATTTGCCAAATGAGGACACCTAGTGAGGATCTAGAGGGATCTATGGTATGGTGAAGATACACTGCCGGACAGAAATGCTAATCTTTTTCAGATTGCAGCTGACCTGGAGGAGGAAATCGCAGGAACGAACAAACTCATCATCCAACTTCTGGCGAGGAGGTGGACAAATTTCAGAAGCATTCCATTCGGGGAAATGAGGTAATTCTTTCAGGTCCAGGTATGTTTTTTGCTTGCTCATTCTATAAGGTCCTTGCTATCCAAACCTTTGCCCAAAAGTGGTAGGTAGGGTGTATTCCCTTCCAAGCTCACTAAGGTTCAGACATTCACATGGTTAGCAAGCCTCAACAAAGCCCTAATACAGGTGGATCATTTACAACATAGAAGAATCCACATGGCAAATAGTGTATAATGTACCTTGAGGATAAAAAGGAATGACACATTTTGGCATTGTGAATCTACCATTCAAATTTCTTCCTACTTCCTACTTCCTAAGGAAATATTATATCCCTTGAGCACATTCACAGTCACCAGTCTCCCACATCATTGGGTAACCCCCCACTACTGAAAACAAGTCGCACCTTCTGGAATCTGAAGGTTCTAGGGGCCGAATTGTTCCATTTAGTTGAAAACTTGGAATGAAATCAACGAATTTTCCAAGGTAGATCCTCTAGAATAACAATCCTCCAGAAACACACAAAACTTGTGAACAGGAGAAAACAACAGGACATTTGAGGGCGCTACAAACTAGATGCACCAATCAGAATTTTGAAAATTTAGCAAGATTCTTGTAACCCATTTTTGGGAAAATACACAGTTTTACACTTCGTCTAGAACTTATCTTAAAAAATTGCCTCTTCCTGACTGCAGCCTTAGCCCCAGTCAAACTTCATTTATCATAGAGGCTAGAGGTTTGGAACTTGTAGACCCGCAACTAGGGGCAGGCCCGAATCCCATGTTCAGTGAAAACGAAGAATCACATCATCCTCATCCCCAACAGCCCTTTTGACAACATCAAATCCCAGGTCATATTCTGGGCCTCCAATCACCCTCTATACAAAGGCTTCTCATCCTCGGCATTCCATCAGAACTGGCAGGCCTTACTCCACCTCGATCATCAGCAACCTTCTCGTGCATCACTCTGGAGACCCCTGAGTGTAGCCTAGTTGAACGGAATTTTGATGGCTGCTCCTTCCAAAATCACAAAGGTTCTATCCTGGCCTCTTTCTCGAAACCCATTGGCCATGCTGATGCCCAATTAGCAGAGGCGCTTGCCCTCCTCGAAGGGCTCAAACTATTCAACCCTTCCTGGAGCCCTGGACTAATAATCAAAGATGACTCTCGGAATACTATCACCTGGGCATCAGGCTCCACTGCTTGCCCTTGGTACCTGCTGAAATTTCCCACCTGACAAGCTCCCTCTCTCACTTCTGGAATCACATTTGGCGAGAGAGTAACACAAACACAGATGCCCTTGCCAAGGCTGGTGCTACCTCAGCTAGCGATTGAGTGGATTTTTTAGACTCAGTCACTTCTTATTCTTTAGAATCCCCTCTCTTGTCTTCTCCCACCCTTGGAGGTGTTATACAAAGGGGTCCCCCTCAGGGGAGAGCCAATTTTTAATGTACATAGCTTCCTTTGAAGAAGCACATTTTTATACTTGATTTCCTTTAATGCAATACAGTCGACACTATTCCCAAAAAAAAAAAAACAAAACTATTAGTAGCTTACCAATCCAAGAAAGAGTACAAGAAAAGAAAAGAAAGCAAGAAGTAGTACATTGCAGGTTATCCTATCCATACATTGCCACCTTCTACTTTACCAGTCCATTTGATTTTCAAATTGATTACAAAAAATGAATTCATAAGTTTACCTTCAATACCCGGATCCCACAGAGGGGGAAAATCCAACATAATACCATGCAAAGCTACCCATCTTTCCCAGGGATGACCCTTCATGAAAAATAAATGAAACGTCAGTACTCACTCCAGTGTTGCTCGGAGTCAATCCATCATCTTAACCAAATTACTCATCAAACAACTACCTTACGCTCTTCTTCAATCCCCAAAATCACAGAGATCTGAAAGGATTCTACCTGATAGATTACTGAAAGAAAAAACATCTATAACTCTGCAACAAAAATCAGTCACAACAGATAGAAATAGCTTCTATATCACAATGAAACAAGACTACAATGTCAAAGGTCAGAACCCCCTGTAAATTATGAGGAGCTCTTCAACGTCATCAGGATATTCATACACAAACTTACTAAGAAAACTCTTCTCTGTCAGATTACACACAGTTGAAAGGCTCGGAGATTTACGAAGAAGTCGCTTGCTTTTTAGATGTTCCACTACTCTATGCCTGGGTACCACTCTCCCCTCAAAGCTGAACATAAGCAATTTGGGATGAAGAATCATATAAGGGCCGTCAAATTTGAGAGTATTCAGATAAAACTCCATAGCACATCGAATCTTTTCTTCCGAAACCAACAGTACATGTGGTGCCTTTTTGAAAGCAGTAATTACATCTTTCTCAGTCCACCCAAAACTCTGAAATAACTTAATCTTTTCCTCCCATTTCTCTTTAGTCAAAGAGCTCATGACCCCAATAGCATGAACATACAGGCTTGCATCTCGACTAAAGCCATATTCATCAACCCTTTGTATAACACTCTTGACCAAGTCAGGGTTCAAAACTAGAACTCGAGGAAACTTCATTATCAATTTTGCTATCTGAGAGAGACTGATTCCACAACTCTGCATATAGTTTGTTAGAGGCAACAGGGTTTTCTTCAAATCTGTCTTTAGAAGCCAACCAGAATGCTTAATTGCTCTATAGACATTATCGTCGGTTTCAAGAACAAGTTTGAGAAACTCAATCAAATGGCACAATCGTTCCTCGCCACGCCATAGAATGCCTGGATCATTAGAGATTAAATTGGTCAATCTGGCGCCAGAGAGGCCCAAATCCTGAAATATCTTTAGCTTGCGCTTTAGGGTTTTATCCACACTAGCTCTCAAGACTCTTGGGCTTCTTTTTAGCATTTCTTCTATTTGGGTCTGAGAGAAACCACATTCCTTGAAGTAAGAGACTGTAGCATCAGCTTCCTTGTGGCTTCTAACATGGCCTAGTTGGGCACAGACTGGAAGGATGCTATCCTTAGAGAACCCATGCTTCTTGATCAAGTAATCAGCAAGGGGGAATGGTAATGCTGTCTCTCGTTTGGTGAGATTCGAAGAGAATGGAGCAAACGAATTTAGGGTTACAATGCATGTGGAGATATGGATATTGGATAATTTCAGGAAGTGAAAGAGGGCGAGTTTCTTATGGAGATTCATTTCTTATATCTAGTTGAGAGAGATCTGGCATGTTACCTGAGTAATGGCGCTGTACAGAGAGAGAGATTTCAAGGAGAAGAATTGCATACAAAGAAGAGAGAGAATGTTTTCAGAGGGCATCCCTGCGGATTGGGGGCACTGCAAGAACCAGCCTTCAACTTCTACCTCAGACGAACCACTTCATTTGAGGGCACAAGGAAAGTCACAGAAATTAGGGCAACAATATTATAAGCTATATCTACCATGATCGAAGTTTTCTCAATATGAAATCGTTACCCTCCATTTATTAAGTTTAACGGTGGATGCCCTAGAGAGTACTGTGGCTGTCTTTAGGAAGAAGTGCTTAAACTCTTTCGAGATATGAAGGGTTGGAATTTGGATGATACATGTGCTGCTAATTTGGACGGCCCTGGTTTTATAAAACAACACCTCTAGGAAAAGGTTAAAATAACTCTTAGGCTATACGGAAAAGGGAAAGGCCTCTATACTTCCCTACCGTATAGAAGATCTATGCTTCACTTACCATCCAGCCGTCCAATTTTGATCAAGAGTGTCACTCAACGTTTGATCTTAGATCCGACGTCTCAAAGTATTTTATTTTTAGTTTTATTTGTACAAATTGGATGAATATAAAATTTAGTACGTGGCATCTTCTCATTGAGGCGCATCTATAAATAATATTAAAAATAATTTTTAGATAAAATATAATGATCAAATACCCCTTAAAACTTTAAAAGGTATTTTGGTTATTTTATTTTATTGAAAATATTAGTTTTATTATTTTCATTAGTGTGAGTTTAATAGAAGATCGGACGTCCAAAATTTGGTGTCAAAATAGTCCATAAAAAAAAAAACTAAAAATAGAAAAGTGTAGAGATGTGACATTGTAATTAGGGCAATCTTAGCCCTCCTTTCAGAATGGGGGTGTATGCTACAACTAAGAGTAGTTTCTTTCACAATTCTTACTTGTACAAATATTTACGTACGTTCATGCGTTCCCCTAAATTGTTGCCGTAATGGAATTTGTTTTTTAATAATTTTGAATTTTATTTGGTCATGGCCTGTCCATTATAATGCACGCTATTGTAAGCATTAAGACATGGAAAATTGTTTCATGCGAGCTAGACGGATGCAAGTAGGTGGTCCATCTAAAAACAATATAAACTAATGGTCCAAATGTTTTCATGTCCTTAAAAATTAAGTATTAAAATTCATCTCAAAAATGAATTTATAAAGAGGCCCACGTTTCCACATATTCTAGGTGTATCGGCATAGAAACTGGGTCCTTAAAGACATTGTTAACTAATTTTTCGATCTCCCATTAAATGCTTTCTCATTTCCTCCATGTTTTTTTTGCAAGACTTATTAAAATGCCTGAGAACTCCATTTTCCCTTAGCATTGCGCCCTTTACGTTCATAAAGATGTGGAGCGGATTATTTATCAACTATCAATTTGCAAAATACCATAAAGTTTGAGCTCAAAACTTGTATTGCATGTGAGCATTACAAATATGGGAAAGTTTGAAGGTGCTTGTTGCTAAAACTCTAGTTAACACTACGGATCATATCAATTACACACTCTTCCAAGCGAATGATGCAATTAGTGAAAAAACAAAACGAGCTTATAGCCACATAGTTCGAATCTTTGGCTTGCAACATGTGTTTAGTTCAAAATGAAATACGTACTTAATAGTGCTATGATGACCAGCCTCATATGAAAATAACAAAAAAGAAATTTTTTTTATATAGAGCCCATCTCAAATTGATCATCTTGTCATCAAGATACATTGACCGGAGATAAAAATGGATTTCAAGTTTTGGAAATTGTGCATCTTGTAATGTATTTTTGGACCATCAATTTTAAAGATTTTCAAGTTTTCATTGATCGGCTTAATCTACACTATTTTTGAAGCTTTAAATTTTATAATTAAAGATGAAAATATATTTTAAGGCGATCAAAAAGATTTCCAATATTAAAACAACATTTTTCAATTATTTGAAAGTGGGCTTTAGTTTGATTTTCGAGACCCTCGGCTCTATACAAACTGCACCCCTATTGGAAAAAGTTTATATAGAGCCAAGGCTCTAAACAATCACATTAGAGCCCACGTCAGAAATTTCACTAGAAGAGGTTGTTTTGATGCCCAAATATCCTCAAATTGATCATCTCAACATCACGATGCATGGACATGAGAAAAAAAAATAGATTTCAAGTTTTGAAGATAGTGCATCTTGTAATGCATTGTTGGACCGTCAATTTTCAAGATTTTCACTTTTTCATAGATCTGCTCGATCTACGCTACTTTTAAATATTTAAATTTTATAATTAAAGATACAAATATATTTTAAGGCTGTGATCCCAATGTATAAAGCATCCATCTTACAAATTGATACAAATAGGTGGTTCATCTAAAACAATTAAAACTAACGGTCCAAATGTTTTTGTCATAAAGTCATTATTTTATTCATTAAAATTTATTTATTTATTTATTTTCATGATATCCATGTTAGAGATTATATATCCTCAAAAATTGGGTAAAAAAATCCATCTCAAAAATAGATTTTCAAGAGTCCACTCATTTCTACATGGACTCATGGAAACCGTGTACAAAAGTAAATGGTATCTTTGTATACTTTTCTTAAACTAGATTATTTGAATTTTGAGGAGCCCAAAGTTTTCTATCTGTCAATAATTAATTATGCAAACTGCCATGAGCCAATGCAAAATATTCTTTAAGGATAAAATATAAAATTGGAACGTAAATCATTTTTTTAACTTATAATATAATTATCTTTTCCTTTCAGGCTAGTCGAATTGATATATATATATATATATCCCCTATTTCTAACTTCTATATCTCATCAGACCCAATAAGGGAAAATATCTTATTATCCCCTATTCTTAACTTGTAAGCAAAATGACTCCCTCTTTTCTATCTTCCAATCCCCTCAACCATTTGACCACGTATTATTGACCTCAACAATGAAATGACTCTATCTCTCTCTCTCTAAAACTCCATCTCTCTCACATCATTGTCTACTTCTCTCAAAACTCCATCTCTCTCTAAAACCCAAACTTCATATCTCTCTCCCAAAACTCCATTTCTCTCCTTAAATCTCAAATTCCATCTCTCTTTCTCTAAAACTCCCTCTCCTCTAAAACTCAAACTCGATCTCTCTCTAAAACTCCATCTCTCTCACACACATAAGAAGGTGTGCTCGTGTTCGAGCTCAAGTGTCACACCCCAAGAATTTACAATACTGATATTCTTGAGAGGTGACAATCAAAACAAAGCAATTTTAGATATCTACCATGCAATGAATCAAAATCAAAACCCCCTTTTTTTTTTTTTGAAATTTTAGGATTATTAAATAAACTCTGTTCATAGCTAATATTAACATAAAGGTCTAAATCACATATACATCTCTTTACAAGATAAATTTACAATGACAATTCTTACAAAGTAACAAAATAAAGTTTAAGCGCAACTACAATATCTTCTAAAGTTGATCCTGACGAGCACTCAAAATGAAACAACAGTTATCCTGAAAATAATGTTTACCATAGTTTGATGAGTTTGGCTACTCAGTAAGTGATCATCATAATCCTAAAAATAATCATGGTTGAAAGATAACAATATTTTCAAAAATGAGATCTATTAACAGAAATGGATCAACAGTTTCACTTTCAAAAATGCATAATTAAGTATAATTCGAATAATTGAAATGCGTATAACATTTTAACGGCAGTGCATAATTCAAAGGATTTCACAAAATACCCTACGAGCGTCCCAAGTAGGTCACCTATATACCCCATTAGCGTCCTGATGGGTCCACTTAATCCCTATCGACGTCCCAGATAGGTCCACTTAATCCCTCCAGGTCTACTTATGCCTCACCGGCATACCGGATGAGTCCACTTAATCCCTACCGGTGTACCGGATAGGTCCACTTATACCTCACCGGCGAACCGGATGAGTCCACTTGCGCACTTAATGTATTTCTAAAACGTTTTAAACATTCAAAAGCAGCAATATCATGTACTCAACATATCACTGAAATTATTAATATGAATTTCACTGAAACCATTAATAACAGTCCCTTTCAATAACATTTCAAAAATAACCAGTCAAATATTTTGGGCTCAAATTCGTAAAGGTAGCAGTTCGTAAAGACATTCTAGCATAATTGCCAATCTAGTATGTATAGAAAAACTAGTATACAAATCCAAGAATACGGAATTATCACAATTATGGGATGTCAATTCGCAAATAAACATTTCACAGACAATGCTATAATCAAATGCAAAAATATCAGTTTTCAAATAATAAGGCAATCATTTGCACATGAATTTTACAATGTCTAAATATTAAAAAACACTAAAAAGAAAACTCACAATTTTACTAAAAGCAGAAATATCACATTTATTTCTAATAATTTTATAGTATCTAAAATTTTCTAACAATAGACAAGAAAAATAAATTTATTTCTAAGAATTTACGGCATTTAAAATTTCTAACATAGATAAAATATCACAATTTTATTAAAAAGATCATTTTTCGATACAATGAGGTCACTTACAGTTGCTCATCAGATTTGATTCATCGGAACCATATATAGGTCTAGACCTTCAAAATGGTCTAAGAGATTCAAGGTTTAGAGTCCCTAACTTTTACTTTGTACGGTTACTGCTCTCGCCTTTTTTTCTTTTGAGGAACTAACCCTTGTCGGATGGTCAAGCCCCTTGAAATTGCCGACTACATGGCAAAAGTAAAAATTATATAAGCGAAGGAAGACCTCATTACTAGGCTGTTAAAAAGGGATGGTCAGAGAAGGAGTACTTCAAGAGAAACATCAAAGCGTGCTTTCCTGTTATCCTCAGAACTCATACGTATATAAGGAATCTAAGGGAGAACACTTTTTTTTTTTCTAATGATTTACAATATTTAAAATTCCTAACAGTAAATAAAATTTCACAATTTTACTAAAAGTTTATTTTTTCAAAATAATGAGGTTGCTTGCGCATAAAATTTATCGCGCCTAAAATTCATGATAATAAGCAGAAGTAATTGTTTCTTTTCATTTTTAAAAAGAACGGATTATTTTTCTAGATAATGAAGTCATTTGCCTAAAATATTTGTGAGGGAGCTTCCGATAAAAATTCGGCTAGAGAGAAGAGCTCACTGTGTTTGTAAGAGGGAGAGCGAGAGTGGAGTTCTGTAAGGGGATGCCTTACCTATCACCCTACTTAAATCTTTTTAAAACGCCTCCACCTCATGTATGAGGTGTAGCGTAAATGTCCGCCTTTAACACATGAAAACCACGTCCACT